CAGATCTCCCATACTTCATACTTGCTGTTGTTGTTTATATACTGAGCTGTTATGTTGTTATGAGCTGAAACTGACCCATACTTGACCCTTCAGAGGGTTTTCAGAGGCAGTTAGTTGCACAGGAGACTGCTTATCTTTATCCTGCTTTACGGCGACCTCACACTTAGAAGGTGGCTAACGGAAGCTAAATGGATTTGGAACCACTCTATTAGGGCATAGCTAGTTGACTTACAAAAACTTGAACTTCTAATCTTGGTATTATCAACCCCTTGCCTTTTTTCTTCAGGCTGCCTGTGAGTTGTTTGTTGTTGTTGTTGTGTATAATTGAGTCAGAACTGACCCATAGCTGCTCCTCCAGCTGGTTTTCAGAAGCAGTAATAGCACAAGAGGAGTTTGTCCATCTTTCTCCCAGCCTTCAGGATTGCAGAGCAGATTCTTACTACCAGAGCTCCCTACACATGAGTAAGAAGTTTAAAATATGTACTTTTTTTTTTAAAAGAGAGCTCTAGTGGTCCATAGCAAGTTGCACTGCTCACCGAAAGGTGAGGCCTCTCTGGTGGTTTTAATCTACCAGTGACTGCTGGGGAGAAAAATGGGTACTCTCTTCCTATACATTTTACAGTCTCTAAGAATCCGCTAGAGAGAGAGTCAATTCCAAGCCTATAGCAATGAAAGCAAGAGAGAGAAGAATAAAATAACTCAGTTTCTACAGACATATCTTTGAAAGCTTTCCTAAATCTTTGATTGCCCCTTGTGCTTCTGATGTCATTGTCCCCAGTTTTCTTAAATGTTTGTAAAGATTTTTTATACTTTCTGTCTTCTGATACGACAAAGATCTTTGATTGTTCAGGATTAGAGAACCTCCAGACTCCAGTTTTTTGCCCAAGGTCAATGAACAAAGGAAATTTTAGGAGTACCAGTATAATATAATTCCATCTTAATGGTAAATCTCTGCTGTAATGACCACTTACTTTTTCAAATTATATCATGTGCTCAGTATAACAAAGATTCTGGAGAAATATATGACTCTATTGACAAATACATGCAAGTTGCTCCTTTAACCACACTAAAGATTAATTAGTATAATGTGTATTTTAGACACCATTTATTGATGATGCTGGATGGTACAGAGTTTACAAAAAAAACAGGATGAGCCTAGAGTTCAGAAGTGGAAAATTAGATGGATAGGTGGGTATGAACTTGGAAAAGGAAAAGAACCTTCACCATGGGACAGAGCCTATGCTCATTAATGTTGACCTGTTCTAGCTCTGTGAGCTGATGTTGACACCAAACTTACTGAAAAATTAAATAAATCCTCTCTCTATTACACACCAGGGAAAGAGATGAGACCACCTAACTCAGTTACTCTGTGGTCAGAACCACAATTAAGTTTTTACCACGGGTTCAAACTGTTCTTGCCCCTAGAAACAAAAACTTCAGCAATGAAAGTTAATATGTGCTTTCATTAAACTGTTGTTTCCACCCCCAAATCGTTATATAAATGTGTAGTATCAGCTATAGGTGGTGTAATGTTGGGAGGAATCGATGAAAGTTGATGCTAATGACGTGCTCAAAATGAATATTATATATCCAAAATGACACAGAAACTGTCTACTGGATTCCATTAGTATTTCTGGGTAAAATAATTTCTGTTTCTATTCCAGCATGTGACAGATAACTGTGATGACTGCAAGTGAAAAAAGGAAAACAGCATTCCAGCATACAAAGGACAATGACAACTAGGAAGCTTTAGCCAGATCAGGCCCTTTTCTTGAAAAGATCCTAGGAGTTGAAGACACTGGCAAACTTGTGGTTCTCTGCCTCCCTCTGCTGTTATTCTTGATAAGTTTTTCCTCACAATGAGAACACATGTACTAGCTGCATCTTTTTCTATGATCTCCCTGCTTGTGATAATGGGAAATACAGACAGCAAAATGGATGGTTCTTTCATGGTGGATTCAGACCCCAGACGCTGTATGAGGCATCACTATGTTGATTCTATAAGTCATCCAGTGTACAAATGTAGCTCCAGGGAAAGACTAAAGCCTCTGCAAGGGTGGCAGTAACACTGAAAATGTGAGAGAAGTCATATTTCTTTGTCATT